GATATATTTTATCGCAGTTTCAACGCTTACACCGTTCGGAAATTCATAGAGCACAATATGGCGAAAGGGCAATATTTTTTCCTACATCTTTAAGTCATTCGTTTGGGAACAAAACGTCACCATTAGACAACGTCTGATTCGCAACTGAATGATTCAAGTCTTCAGTTTAGAACACACCAAAAATCGCCACCAAAATAAACGCCAAACATTAACAACAGAAATTGGGCACGAACATTTGCAATGATCTGGTAATTTTTTACTTGACCACTGACCGCCATATTGAACATTTGAATCATTACAGGATTTAGTGATCAGTTAATGATCGGCACAGTTAGGACCAGACAACTGCCGGACCACAGAAATGCCGGATGCCAGAAATCACTCTTTAAAACACCCTTTGTTTACATAGATTTAAAAAAAAAAATAAGCTGTTCTAGGAATAGTTTTATTCAGCACTACACGATGCTGCAAAACTAACTCTGTCTAAACAATAAGCTATGTACAACCGTTTTCTCAGATCAATGATAAAAAAATCTCAAGGCAGTAAACACTGTAGGCTTGAAGACTATTCTTAACCAGATCACATAAGCTGGCGCTACAGAATCACAATAAATTTTATCAAATAACAGAAATCACATCCTTTAAAGACATGCAACAGCAACAACTAAAATGGATAGCACATGAAAATCGGAGAGAAAATAATGACATAATCAAAATGCAGATTCAAACAAAAAGCTAGGAAAGAAGTCATCATGAGTACTAGAAAGAGCTATAACAGTTAGTGAACTCGAGAAACCTATTTAACCAGAAAAAAAACTATTTTAAGAGAAAGATTTTATAAATTTCAACCGACATTAAAGCTAATTTTTCGGTCAATTAATATAGAATATTTCCTTATAAGGAAACGTCTATTATCATTATAATTATTAACTTCACAGAAATGTTAGAAAAAAACAAAAAACAAAAAACGCTGAAACAGACGCAATGTTTTTTTATTGTATACTAGCCGAAATACCCGCGCCTTGCTGCGTGTCACGCATTTTTATAATTTGTGGAGAAAAATTATGCATTTCAATATTACTCAACGATTTTGTCATTGTGACCTCCATCTTCTGGATTTCGCCTACTATATTTTGAATAGGAGACATTCCTTTGTTCAAATTTAAATTTAATTTAAATCAAAGGGAAAAAAATCAATAGGTGGCTTCCCCCTTTAATCAAAACGATCTTGCCAATGTGACCTCCATCTTCTAGCTTTCTCCTTTTATAGTTTTTATAGGAGTCATTTCCTTGTTCAAATTTAAATTTAATTTAAATCAAAGGAAAAAAAATTTAGTGAAACAGGGATTCCCTTTGACCAAAATGAAATATACTAATCCAAGTCTCATGGGTAATGTAGCTTCAGAAAATATGTGGTTATGGGGGGGTCTGTCTCCAAAATCCTAGGAAGAGTTCGATGACAAAGAAACAGACAGAGTGAAGCTACGACTTTTTATATATAGATAATATTTTATGAGGTATATTTGGCAACCAGACAGTTGTCGCCAAGTTCATTAAATTTTTTTTGTAAAAGATTTTCTTTTACCTCAATTAAAGCCAACTTTATAATGACCATTCGTGTAACTTTTATGATGTCATAAGCAAAACAGACACTACAGAGAACTCTTTCTTGGGGCACAATACGAGGAGGTGCTGAAAAGTTCACGGTTCGACCCATTTCGAAAAAATGAATTTTCCGAATAGCCAAAATGGTAGGACAGGTTTATTTTCATTTCATTTATTTTATTTTATTATGTTTACTTAATGTTATTTATTTGCACGAACTCCCGATCAATTTTATTTCAGTGCACTAATTAATCATTAAACTATTATTTCTTTCAAGAATAATTAATTTTCGAAATTGCGACAAATTAATTGCCAATTACAGCATTCATTTACTAATTACTAGGTTCTTCTAAGATGATAATACATGAATATCATATGTAGCGATAAAGTTATTAAACTGGTATAATTGCTTGAAAGATGAATTTTTATTTCAATCATTTCATCCCAAACAAGGAGATAATGCCACTAAGACATGGGGTTTCCGGAAGTTAAAGAGAATGAGAAGACTTTAGTGGGGAGAGACAAGGAAAAGGACAATAAAGGAATGGGGATCAGAAAGATGGAAGAAGCGATTGACGTTGTATTTAATTTTTTAAGATTCTAGTTGGCAGAGAAGCAAATAATCGGGAGCTCCACTGTTGAGAATTGGGAGAAAAGAAACTATTACTTTAGAACTGACGTTTGCATCTAGCTAGCTTAGCAGTAATCTTAAATTAATGCAGCCGAAGCAGTAAGGAGAGAAGCTGATCAGAACAGAACATTATTCATTTATCCCTTTCTCTTGCCGTATAAAATAATTTAGCCTCGGAGTTCCCATCTGTTTTAACGATTGAGAATCCGCGTGAATAAGTTGCATTCTTAAGGTCAAATTTTTTATGCGGAAACCTAATTGATGGTCGACAGTTAAATGGGTTACAATGTTGTTAAGTTGTAGTTTGTGCATGATGTGGAGGACTGTTTATTTCAGACATGACATATTCACCAGTTTCAAAACAGATAAATAAATAAAACTTAAATTGCGATTGTTAATCTTCTATCTCTCTTTGATCAAGCTTGTTCCATTCGCCGCTCATTCATTATGTTGCTACACAAAGTGACCTGAAATCCATCGTCAATAGTAGTGACATTATCGTCAACCATGGTACGCCCTCTAGTGGAGTTAATAGTTCTATTTTCAAGGAAGATCACTCAACTTCGAATATTTGACTCGAAGTAACCTTCGTAGAAGCAGAATATCAGAAAAATACATCGAACAAAAAAGTTAATTGGTTTTGTTTGTTTTGTTTTACGGTATACCAACCTCAATGGGTTATTTAATGCCGAAAAGTTTTTTTTATGATTTTGTCCACAAAATTATTGCTGGACATATTTTTTTCAAAAATTCATTGCTAGTAATATTTTTACAAAAATGTACTGTTGATATTAAAACCTATTTTTACACTTTCAGTGTTTTAACCACAGTTTGGTGTTAACTATTTATCCATAGCTGGGACCCTAACAGGTGCTATCACCGCGGGTCAGAATGGACCTGTTATCACCAGTAATTAAGAAGTGGTTCTACGCTTTTCAAAACCTCCTGATCAGAGGCGTTACTGTTAGATGTAGTATCTCGTCTTACCCAGGACGTAACAAAGATGATGTTTTCTGGATAACCCATGAAATCATTGCAATATGCAATCACGTGACAGCACTTAGAAAACCTTAGAAAGCATCGGTTAAAACACTAGTGATTACAATAAAAACATACAAGGATAAAGGTCGTAATAATCCATTTCAATAATAGCGAATCATTTATTTTGTTTGTTTAGCGGCATATCAACAGCCTATGGGACATTTAATGCTGAAATTTAATTTTCTTGGGAGTATTAGTAATGCCTTAAAAAAAAAGTATTACGAGTATTTTTTTTTTCCAAAATATATTTCTGATGTTTTTGGAACTATGAAAATGTACTACTGGTATTTTTACTATAAAAATGCATGTTTATACATTCATAGTGTTTTGACTCAACTTTTGGAGGTTAACTATTTGACCATAGCTGTGATCCTAACAGATTACTACCAGCCCGGGTCAGGGTGGACCTGGGAATAACAATAATTAAGAAATGGTTCCACGCTCCCCATCAGAGGCCTTATTGCCGGATGTGGTTTATCGTCATACCCAGGACGTCCATTTATTTTAGAAGTATATATATATATATATATATATATATATACACCCCCTAAATGAGGTAAATTTGGATTTTTGTTGTGTGATATATATGCTCTGTTATAACAAATACATTGAGCTCTTTTGGGGATCAGGTTTAATAGTTGATATTACTAGTATCTTCTTGGATTATATATCAACGGATTTATTTCCTATACTATATATATATATATATATATATATATATATATATATATATATATTCAGTTATATGGATTTGAGTTTGTAACCCTGTGTTTCACGCTTTTGCGATCATCAGTTTATGATAGCAAAAGCATGAAACCAGGGTTACAAACACATATCCATACAACTGAAAATGTAAGCTCTATCTCTCATATTGAGCACTTTCGAATAAGTACCGCGCATATATATATATATATATATATATATATATATATATATATATATATATATGACTCGTGCTGGGAACAATCTGTTCGTATATCCAGAACAATTTTTATCCTTCACAACCACGAACGCTAAATAATTACCCTATTATTAACTATATCCTGATGATGACATTATTCTGTGTCGAAACGTACTCGGAAATAAATACAATATGAGCCAACACGGTTTTTTCCTCCCGTCTTTTAATAACCGCAGAAAAAAATTATATAAAAGGATCTTATCGAGAATTAATAGACAGAAAATGGCTAAATTATTTAACGAGTCTTGTCTTAATGAAAATACGCTGCTGAAATATACGCATTTCAAATTGTATATATATATATATATATATATATATATATAAATTTATATATATATATATATATATATATATATATATATATATATATATATATATATATATATATATATATATATATATATATATATATATAGTGTGTGTGTGTGTCATGGCGCTATAATATAAGTATTCCCTAGCTAGTGTTATAATTAGTCGCGTCATGGCGTCTTATAATATAATCGTATTCCCGTCAGGCTATTTGCTTGCCTAATCATCAATATTTACACAGGTTCTGTACTAAAATTAATCTGAACGAAAGGGAAACTGACATCCAACCTCGAAGAAACGCTTTTGTAAAAATAGTTTTCCTTTTGTTTTCAAAATTTTATATTTTATCGCTTTAATCCTGTTAGTTTTCCTTTTGTTTTTCATGTGAAATTTTATATTTTATCTTCTGTCACCCCTTAGCCTGGAGCACTTTATTTATAGTTATCTTAATAGTTATCTATATCGTCATCTATCTATCTATCTATCTATCTATCACATTAATGTTCATGATGGGGTATACTTGGCTTGCTCTTCACTAATAATCTTCTAATCATCAATATTTACACAGGTTCTATATATTCTAAAATAAATAATTTATCATTCTGGGACGAAAGTATGTAACTAAATCTATGTCACTTTTGATCAATGTATGTATGTATTTGGCCTCGAAGAATCTATCTATCTATCTATCTATCTATTGTAAAAATAGTTTTCCTTTTGTTTTTTCATGTGAAATTTTATATTTTATCGCTTTAATCGTTATTTTAGTGGATGCCCATATTTGAGTAGACGCTCCGTTTATTTATTAAACAGCATATTTATTCCTTTTAGTCTACCGGCCTGATCTATATTAGATGTATGTATTTAATCTTATATCTAAATATTATTTAATCTATCTATCTATCTATCTATCTATTTCAGTCTACTCTTATCTATCTATCTATCTATCTATCTATCTATCTATCTATCACATTGATGTTCATGATATTGCGTATGTATGTATGTATTTGGCTATCTCAGTCTCTTCATATCTATCTATCTATCTATCATTCTGATGTTCATGATATTGCGTATGTATGTATGTATGTATTTGGCTTTCTCAGTCTCTTCATATCTATCTATCTATCTATCTATCATTCTGATGTTCATGATATTGCGTATGTATGTATGTATGTATTTGGCTTTCTCAGTCTCTTCATATCTATCTATCTATCTATCTATCTATGTATGTATTTGGCTATCTATCTATCTATCTATCATTCTGATGTTCATGATATTGCGTATGTATGTATGTATGTATTTGGCTTTCTCAGTCTCTTCATATCTATCTATCTATCTATCTATCTATCTATCTATCTATCATTCTGATGTTCATGATATTGCGTATGTATGTATGTATTTGGCTATCTCAGTCTCTTCATATCTATCTATCTATTTATCTATCTCTATCTATCTATCATTCTGATGTTCATGATATTGCGTATGTATGTATGTATTTGGCTATCTCAGTCTCTTCATATCTATCTATCTATCTATCTATCTATCTATCTATCATTCTGATGTTCATGATATTGCGTATGTATGTATGTATTTGGCTATCTCAGTCTCTTCATATCTATCTATCTATGTATGTATTTGGCTTTATCTATCTATCTATCTATCTATCTATCTATCTATCTATCTATCTATCTATCTATCATTCTGATGTTCATGATATTGCGTATGTATGTATGTATTTGTCTATCTCAGTCTCTTCATATCTATCTATCTATCATTCTGATATCTATCTATCTATCTATTTGGCTATCTCAGTCTCTTATCTATCTATCATTCTGATGTTCATGATATTGCGTATGTATGTATGTATTTGGCTATCTTCATCTCTCTTCATCTATCTATCATCTTCATGATATCTATCTATCTATCTATCTATCTATCTATCATTCATTCTGATGTTCATGATATTGCGTATGTATGTATGTATTTATTTATCTCAGTCTCAGTCATTCTATCTATCTATCTATCTATCATTCTGATCTATCTATCTATCTATCTATCTATCATTCTGATGTTCATGATATTGCGTATGTATGTATGTATTTGGCTATCTCAGTCTCTTCATATCTATCTATCTATTTATCTATCTATCTATCTATCTATCTATCTATCATTCTGATGTTCATGATATTGCGTATGTATGTATGTATTTGGCTATCTCAGTCTCTTCATATCTATCTATCTATCTATCTATCTATCTATCTATCTATTCTGATGTTCATGATATTCTGATGTGTATGTATTTGGCTATCTCAGTCTCTTCATATCTATCTATCTATCTATCTATCTATCTATCTATCATTCTGATGTTCATGATATTGCGTATATATGTATGTATTTGGCTATCTCAGTCTCTTCATATCTATCTATCTATCTATCTAAAATTACCAGCTGTAGCATCTATTAGATTTTCCAATGTATCTTTTCTTTCTTTCTTTCTTTCTTTCTTTCTTTCAACTTTAGTTCAAACTTGTCCACATTATGCTATTATCTATCTATCTATCTATCTATCTATCTATCTATCTATCACGAACTGTTCATATGCATCAACACCGTAATGAAACACTTCATTTTAGTTCAAATATTTCTGTAAATCTAATCTATCTATCTATCTATCATTTTGATCGTTTGTTGTATGTATAAGCTATAAACATCTATCTAAATTCGATAAGAAATTTTCCTCATTTTTATCTGAATTATCATATATGTTCATGATATTGTATATGTATGTATTTGGCTATGTCCGTAAATTCATATCTAATTTGTATCTAAAATTACATGTCTACACATTTTCAATGTATCTTTTCTTTCATTCTTTCTTTCTTTCTTTCTTTCAACTTTAGTTCAAACTTGTCCACATTATGCTACATCACTATCTATCTATCTATCTATCACGTGTTCATATGCATCAACACCGTATATATTTTATAAATATATATATATATATATAAACACTAAAATATATATATATATATATATACATATAGGGTATATAAAAATTTGTATATATATATATATATATATATATATATATATATATATATATATATATATATATATATATATGCTTGTACTTTCGTACATGCAAAATTTCGAGAGACATTATTTATTTTTAACCAAATCAACCGAATGATGTTGCAAATTTCGACGTGACCAAGTTGTCAAATTCTAATAGCGAAGAAATTTTGAATAAAAAATTGATTTCTCGTCTTAGGCGTCGCTCTCTGAAACTTCCAAAATCTTATTGGCGGCAAAAAAATTTTACGTTTTTAAAGAATTCCTCGTATATAGATTAATCATGTTTTTTTTCTCTCTCTTTTCTTTTATTCATGGTCTTGAATATTCACTTGGTTTTAAAGGGGGTACACACGATTTCCAATTTCAAATTTTATAACGTAAATTGCTTATTTATGAATTCAACTAATATATATATATATATATATATATATACCTGCATATGCGAAAATGAATAATTCGTATATGCATCTATTTCTTTTTTATATTTATTTATTTTTATTATTTCATCTTTATTTATAAATAAATAGAAAAGTTATGTCTCGCGGGTGATATAGCTAGTGATAAAGGATGGAGTTCGAACCGATATGAAATTTAGGATGTCGATTACTGATTTTCAAGGTAATTTTTTCGTTATTCTTGTTTTCTGTGTGTGTGTGTGTGTGTGTGTGTGTGTGTGTGTGTGTGTGTGTGTGTGTGTGAGAGAGAGAGAGAGAGATTCTGTGTAATGGTGTTCAGCACGGGAAATGAATTCAGTATATTACATTCAGTCAATTATGTGCCATGCGTGATACAAGCTTAGCCGATCATGTATCTTTCGATACATGACTGACGAGGCACATTTTTTTGCTGCATTTCTTTCTGCGGTAGACCAGTTGCCATCCAAGGCTATAGAAGCCGGTCTGTCCTGCTATTTACCCATAACTGTGGGTGGGGAGAAAAGGATTCATACCTTTCCCAACGGTATTAACACGTAAGTGAATTTCAGTCAGTTATGTGCCATGCGTGATACACGCTTAGGCGATCATGTATCTTTCGATACATGGCTGACGAGGCAGATTTTTTCCCGCAGTAGTTGTCATTTCTTTCTGCGGTAGACCAGTTGCCGATTTTGTCGACTGCACAGTATAGTAGGGTCAGTTGGGCACCGTCTGTGAGAAAAAAAGCACCATGACGCAATTCACTCCGCCAGAAATGGGGAAACAGCATGCTGTACTGCTTGAGTCTTCAATACGAACATTTCAAAGTGTTTGAGTGTCGATCTGAGGACAGTGCAGAGGATTTGGAAAGAGTTGTACGTGTCTAATGTTGATTAAGAAGGTACGTCAGTTGGGAAAACTCACTCTGATCGTGGAGTATTTATTGATAAGAAAAGAACTCCCAAATTCCTCAGACTCAACACGGAGGCCCACTTCAAGTGCTGGCCTGGGTCAAGAGGGTGGCTGCTCGAAAATCATATATCTGGCAACAGGGCTCTGCTCTATGCTGCACAAGCAGCAGAACACAATCATGGCTGTCAGACAATTTCTGCAACAACATCACCCGTTACGCCTGGCCACGTAACTCCCCAGCCAGTAACCCCTTTGATCAATATGTGTGAGGCGCAGTTGAGCGAGAGACCAACTTCTTGTAGCCCCAAAAATGAACTGATGGCAAGGATTATGGCAGCATTCACCAACAGAGACCGTCCAGAAGAGTTGCAAGAGATTCCGAAGTCGTCTGGAGGCCATCGTTGAAGCCAATGACGATTTTATTGAATACATTTACTCTTTACTATTTAAAGATATTTTTGTGTAATTTTGTTAGATATATGTTAAAATTATATATCAGTGTTATTTTCATTTTTGCGTAATTTAGACGACAATTTTTTCATTGAACTCTGTATATATATATATATATATATATATATATATATATATATGTGTGTGTGTGCGTGTGTGTTGTGTGTGTATATTTCTATACATATAAAAATTAATAAATATACATATACCTACGTTTATAATATAACTTAAAGATTCGTTGTTTTACCAACTCCTCAGGCAAAAAACGAAATTTGAACGTAGGTATATGTATATTGCACTTGGAACGTAGGTATATGTATATTTATTAATATATACTTCTAAGCTCTGTCTAACCACATTGAGAACTCTTTTGTTTACTCCTTATTTTAAATTAAGTAAATATTTATTCGCTTACCTGTGTATGCACGCTAACGCACGTATATACAGTTGCTAATATCAAATTATTTGGTTTATAGCCACATTTATACCTATATATATTGTGAAGTAATTGACCTTCGTTCAGTGTAAATGAAAATATATATATATATTATATATATATATATATTATAAATATTATATATATATATATATATTGTGAAGAAATACACACACACGCACATATATATATATATATATATATATATATATTATGAAGTAATTGACCTTAAGTGTAATTGAAATATATATTGATATATATATATATATATATATATATATATATATATAAAATAAAGGTGTCGCGTCTGCATTTTTGCGGGGTTTTCATGTCGACTTATAACTCAGAAAAGAGATACCGCTGGGTGTTAAAATTGCGCATGCGCTTTAATATACTTATGAAATTTAGTTATTTATTCTTTCTGATTAAATGATATAATTCAATAAGTAAGAATCAATCGATTTATGGAACTCTTCACAATTATTTTCCAGCAAGTACAAGTTCTTCTTAAACGTCTCATTGGTGAAACTTTTCGAAGTTAACATTTGTTCTTAAGCACACAAACACCAAAAAAAAAAAAAAAAAAAAAAACAACGGTACGTGGAACTATTCAATTATTTTTAAGATTCGCCATATTTAAACATCACCCAGATTCCATTTGGGAAAATCTTTGAAGGTAAATACAAAATCTGAATTAAATCCTCTTTAAAAAATTATTTTTTTGTAATTTAGCACTGATTGTAAAAAATTTTTTTTCTTTGTTGGAGACCTAAAACAAATCATGAAATGTTTGAAACCAAAGTGTACCTGTTTTTGAATACTACTTCAAATGAAAAAATCAATTGCACAAAGTTTTACATTTTTAATTCTTAGCTTCTTTTTATTGTACCTACCCATTGTTACATTTTAGTGGGTAAGAAAAAAAATAACTAATTAAACGAATACATTGTTTATCACTAACTCAAAAACTGATTTTTTTTTATTTAAAGGAATACTTTTCATTTGATTATAAATAAGTACTCTTCGCTTCTTTTTTTGTTACATTTTTAGAGGTCAAAGAAAAAAAGGACAAAATAAATTAATTTTTAGTAAGTGTAACTCAAAAACTTTTTTTTTTTTTTTTATTTCTGGGATAAACGAATACTTTTTATTTGAATCAATACGCTAAATTTTCCACCTACAAATGACAAATATTTAATTAACATTTTATTTTTAAATCTTTAGAGGCTAAAAGAGAAAATAAATTAAAAGAATATATTTTTATCACTGTAACTAAGCCCAAACATTCCTAAAATAAAAGAACACTGCAATACGCAAATTCTTAGCTTTTATCGTTAAAATTAATTTTTAATCGGTGTAAACTCAAACCGATTTTAAGACCCCATAATATTTAAAGAAAGAACGAATACTGAAATATTCCAGTCCACCTATCAATAAAGACACATTTTTAATTAACTTTTTATTGTTACAATTTTAGAGAGTAAAAGAGAAAATAAATTAAACGAATACATTTTTATCACTGTAACTCGACAGGCAATTATGAACTGAATTTAAATGTGTGTCATATTTGAAAAAAAAAGCCGGCACTCTTGAAGTATTTCTTATAATTATCAGTGTAACTCAAAATCATTCAAAATACAGTAGAATCCCTGACAAGTAGACAAAGAAGGCCTTCCAGATATAAGAAATTGTTTACAAAGTCCAGATGTGAGGGGTTATATTTAGATTAAAATAAAAGAACTGAAATCAGGTTTAACATTTATTTTCAATGTTTTATAGTAAACCAAATAAGCTAATGGTGAGTGAAATATAACGGAATTTATTTTCAGGAAAAAGAAATAAATTATTTAATGTTAATGAAAATTCATTAAATTAATTATGCCACGTATGTAAAGCAAGTAATTGTAACGAGGATTTTTTTAAATCGCTCTTGCATGATGATTCTTTCTCTTCTAATGTCATTCTCAACTTTTTCGCATTTCGTTTTGCTTTTGTTCTTGAATTTTTTTTTTAACCGAAAGACATTTTTTTTTTTTTTTTTATTGCAATCGTCATATCTGAATGCTGGCTTTCTTTCCATAAAACTGAGAATCTTTTCAGTAGCTTTTTCAATTTCTGTCCAGGTTTCATTAAAGTCATGGTTTTTATTTATTCATTGTGACAGCGTGAACGCTGGAGAATAGTTTATTTGGAATATTTTATATCATACAATGTTGACTTTCCTATGTCGAACGCCATTAGTTACAATAAAATGTCACCAGCGTCTAGTCTGTTTAAAATTTTCGCTTTTTGCAATAACTCCAAAGTTGTTCTTTCCTCTTATTCCCATCATCTTTAGCATCTACACAAGCCATTAGGGTGAAATAAGTATAAGCAATTATCCAAAGTAAATTTCCTGAAAAACAGAAATTTTAAATCGGTTACATATCACCGAAATAGTTCAAATATACACATCAAAATCATGTCCGGATATGCGGAATTCCGATATGAGGGATTCTACTGTGCTACGCACACACACATATATATATATATATATATATATATATATATAAATATATATATATATATATAAATGAGACACGAATAAAGTTGATATCATTTTACTTCCAAGAATTCGATTGTGTCCATTGGACACAGAGATTCCCTTCAAATTTCGAAGGCTCCAGTTTCCATGCACTCCCTATTTTCCTATGACCATTCATAAAGCCCAAGGACAAATCTTCTAGGAAATTGGAATTCACCTGTCCGTCCCATGCTTTTCACACGGACAGGAACTGAAAAAAGTCTTACTTACCCCAAATAATCAGACACACCAATGTAATTTATCCAAACATTTCTGGGGGAGGAAGCAGAGGGAAGGAACTTGTTGAGAGCGGCAAGGGATAGCGAGATGTAGAGAGCCATGATCGTCTACGTTCTGAAAGGACTTGGCACATAAAAAAGAACAGACTTTAAATATCTTGACAGAATTAGTTCACAAATTGCATAGAGCAAA